AATAATTATTTTACCTGTCATCATATCAAAGTGAAATTCAAATTCGTAATCAATATTTCATAATTTCTATGACCTAGCTGAAATTTCCCAAAAAGTAAATTTTTTTTATAGAGCAGTATGTAGATAGATACGTAGTAATATAGAGCAAGCATAGAAGCTAATAAAAAAAAAATGCAACTTCTTTTTTTTACAAATTAAAATTATTATATTTCTTTTATTATTAATACTACTACAACAAAACTACATTCATAAAATGAAAAAAATCAAAACGCATTCGAGTTATCTTTAATGCCCGAATTTGAAACACACGAGTTGTATTTTTGAGTTAACTATGCGTGATGGTAAAATACACACAATAACATTAATAATAAAATAAAAACGTCTCTAAGTTTGGAACACACATAGGCCAGTTAACATTGGTATGTAGGACGGCTTTTACTGTAAATTTTTAACTTTGAAGCAAGCTAATTTATACTTTGAATCACATGACCACCCGGTATAAAGCAACTAGTCATCCTACTAAAACTTTGTCTACCCGATTATCATCCCAAAAAATACGACAATTTCGAGTAAATTTCAATTTTAATTTTATTTCTATTGTAAAATTTCTTTATTAATATAAAAATTGATAGATTGATAAATAAAATAAATAAAAATCTATTTAAATAATTCTAAATATTAACCTATATATTAATTATGAATACTATGAGTTATATAAAACACTTGGTATAATTGGTTTATCAATATTGTTTGGAGAAACTCCAAATTTGTAATCCAAATCCTACAATAGAAGAATTCCAATTATTAAAAAATATTGTACACACACACATATATATATATAATCACAAAAAAATAAAATTTAAATTTCTTACCAACAAAATTTTTAAAGCGTTTCTACTCTTTAAATAATCGAGATCTCTACTACTATCACCACCAATATTATCGGTTTTAGCAGCAGTAGTAGTGGTGTAAGCCTTGACATTCCAAGGAAACCACCTTTGTAACAACTCGTAAACCATTAACGTTGTGCCAAATTGCGGCGAAGATCTGAAAACTCTGGCAGGCCCACCTTTGAAAAATGCTCCAACTCCTTCTCCCTTGGCACCCTTTTTATTAGCACCAA